TACTGGCTTGACATTTCGCGTCCGACTCACTAATTGCCATAATTGCCATGTCGGCGTCAGCGTCAGATGCGGGCCTGATAATGGCCTGATGTTAGAACTCCTTTTCTAGGCTTCAAATTACTTTGGTAAATAATCTTCTTGGTGAAAAAATTTGCATCCTTTGTAGGCATTAGATAAAAACGAACAATTACCTCAAATTAGAAACTGTCAAAAGTAATAAAACATTTAAAAGAGATGCGTTTGCAGTTATTTATTGAGACTATTTGGGGTAATAATTACCAAACCCTTACAGAAAATGGAACTTAAGAATTTAGCCAGTGAATGGTTGGCCCAAATAATGATTCTTCCGTTTTCTAGCTATCGACAGTTATTATGACCTTTCCTTGTATCTCACAGCAACGTTCACGTAGGCACGTTCGAAAATTGTACCAAACCATCAGCAGAGCAATAAAAATCACCGGCAGTCGTTTGGATATATATTGCTATTTGCAAATAATTTTCGTCAAAAGACGGTTGCATCCCGTTCAGGTTAGTTAGAATTCCATCCAAAAGGAGGATTAGAGTATTCTAGCATTTATAATATTAACAGATCAACCAGATTCCAAGGGCCATTGCGGTTACAGCGATTTTCGAGTAGTCAAAGAAGCAGGTAAGAAACAATATCTTATTCGCGAAATTGAAAAATATTCGCCACCTTTTTTATTGGTCGGAAATTTGAACGTTGGGAATTTGGACATGTCCAGCAGGAGTGAAACGCAAACGGTATGTAAATGCATGTCTATCATAGCAGCGTTTGGATTCATTTATTTCCTAACTCAGTAATGCCATGACTAATGTGTCGTCTAATGATTACTTTTGAAACGCATCATTAAGGAGGCCTACCTTGTCTGGCTAAATGATGCGGTTTCGGATAACTGAAAATGTAAGTTAAAACTGCAGTCTAGAGAGGGAGTGTCTGACTGGATTCCTACCAGTTGCAAATAATTTATTGCGTCGAAATTCCGGATAGACTCTATCCTCGATGCAGATGAAGAGCCGAAGTTCGTCACTTCAAACCAATGATTTTCAGCGCCTTGCCCGGTGCGATATGTCTATTATAGTTATTGCTATTAGTAATAATACTTAAAAGTGGTTAGTGGTGCGTTTATTTTAATTTCAGTTTCCATGGGAGGTGAGTTTACAAGTGGCCCAACGGCTTCACCCTCCGAGGTGTCTTCTTTGATGAATATATTATGGAGAACTGCGCTACTGAGCTCACAGATGCCAAAAGGAGAACATTGTAAAGGCAAACTTTCCGAATCACAATAATTAGAGCTATCATCACTGGACTTTAACAAACCAGATGAAAAGACGGCTTCGGAGAATCTGCATAACTTTAGTGATCTACGCTTTCTTTTAAAGAACATGTTATATTCAAGCATATGCGACCAGAATCCAATAAAACAAATTGATACTGACTAGTTTTTCTTTTTTATGCCTGCTTTTTAAAGGATTTAAATCATTTTGTCGTTTGTTGTGCTGTTTCGTGTTCTTTGTTTGAAAAGGCATCCCTTAAAGAATGGTAGTTTGCCTTTAGATTTTATGCACAGACCCCAGAAAGCCGTTCGGATGTCATTTTTTCGAAAGCTAAAGCCATCCGTCTAGTGGCGGATATTTTAAAGGGACTACGGGAAAAGTGCACCAATTCCACAAATTTTCTGGTTTCTTTATGGGGCTTCATGGACACTGCTGGATTTATCCTGCAAGTTTTCTTGATTGGTTTTATGGCCACGTGAATAGGCGAGTTTCCGTTGGAATATTTCATTCAAAATAAGGGCGTATTCCTCACTTTCTTTCGCTCTTTCTGTCCGCTTGTTAAATCCGCATAGATCATCTAGATTTATCACCAACGATACCACCGAAGATAACCGAGATTAGAGACCCTTCTCGTTCACGTTGTAGGTTTACTGAAAACCAGTCTCTTGAGCTATTTCACAAGCGGTCCGGTACTTTGAGTTCTCAACATACCAGTCCTCGAAAGACTTGAAGTTGGCGAATTTTTAGATGAAGCAGCCCTTTAATGCCTTTTTTTAAAATCAAAAAGTCTCCCCTTACAGGTGATTCTATCCGTCACCTCGGACACAACAGAAGATGGTACTCCTCAGAGCATCGTATGTCTTGGGCCTGTTGCAAATGCTACTGTCCGATGGCTGCTTTGTGCGTCGCACGTTCGAGCCTGCTAACACAATGCCGACTTGGGTTGATTTTTCGAACATCTAAATACCTGGGTAACTTTAAATATTACTAAGGCATGCAGGGGTCCAAGCAGTGTTTGTACTCAGAGCAATCCAATCATCCAGCCAAATTCCAAGTTGGAAGAGTAGACAGAAGGAGCTTGTGGGAGGGATTTATTGCGCACAGAACTCTCAGTTGCTGCCTCAAGTAAACGTAACTACTGGCGAATCCAGGACTAGTTTTGACTGTTTCCAGTCATGTCCGAGTAACAGAGAGAGAGCTGTAGAACCTGAATTTACGTGATTGTGGAGCAAGTTCAAGTGGTGTCCAATTTTTGTGTTGCATTACCCAGGGGGAGAGGGGGATGCCGAGTATAGAGGTCCATACTGCGTCGGCCGAGGAGTGGCCTGTTCAAGTGGCCCTTAACCAGCCGCGACGATCTGGACGTGCGATGGGAAGTCGGTCAAAAGTCTGCATATTGGCGAGTCGGCAAGCGATCCCTGCAAATTTGCATGACCTTGAGGCAATGGGCAGTAAGCAAGGAATTCAGACAGCAACGTTAGCTGCGTATAGAACGTCAGAAACGTTCCGAAATTATTGCCGAAACCTGATAAGTACCTGAAGTATGAAATGTTACTCAAGTTTAAGACGTCCGGCATGTAACATTTTCGTCCCTCGGAATCAGCAGTGCGTTTTCAAGAATCAAGAATAAGAGGTTTCATTTAAATATAGCCAACCCTCTTCTATAGACGAAACTTGATATTACACCAAAGTTTCTTAATCAATGATCTTCTCTTCATTAGACTTAAGGAAGTACGTCAGCTCCCATTAACTTACGGTTAAGACTATTATTAGGACTAGTATTAGGAGGCTTGGCAGATTTCCTCAATCTGCGTTGACCCAATTGTGGAAAAACTCGAGGCGTTCGGCGGGATTTGAACCCACGTATCAGAAAAGGCCTTTATCGGAAGCCAACGTTCTAACCGCCAAGCTGCAAACGGCCCGCCTCACCCCATGTAGCTTAGCGGTTAGAGCGCTGGCTTTCCGTAAGGCCTTTTCTGATACGCGGGTTTAAATCCCGCCGAACGCCTCGAGTTTTTTCACAATTGGGTCAACTCGAGTTTCGGACTATGCCAAATTTTATTTGTGCAACAGTTGGCGTCGAACCAGGAAGACTGCATTTCGACCCCGTCTGGCAACGTTGGTTTTCTGGTATGTATACAGTATCCACTACATACTACCTAACCGTACCCCAATTTATCACTTCCCACCCTCACGGATATTTTAATGAGTACGAGAGCAATTCTATCCAATCTATCTGGTTACCCTGGGCACATAGTTGCGGCTTTAAACCTGCGTGCGCATCGTTTGCACATTTCTCCTTACTGATTATCAGTAAATAGTAGGGGTTCCTATGGTTTAAGAGGACGCTGCCTCAGGCGGGAACGTGAACCCTCACATTTATATTGTTTAAACAGCTGTGTGTGCTCTCCTCGGAACTTCAATACTTTAGAGATTAACTTTAGGTTTAGTAACGTCGATAAAAAAGTGCAAATTTGTTAAATAAGCTTATAGACAGTGTATAAATGTTTTGAGGGGTCATTTTCACTTTGTTACACTTCCAGCTGTGTCTTTATTAGGGATGACAGATTTCAAAGACGATGTTGACCGCGCGATCCCAGCGGACATTTTTGACGACTTTACTTGCGTAGAAGATGCTCAATTCCGACAGCAATATCGACGAGAACGAACATCTAGCGCAGAGGCTAACGTGATCAAGGAGGAGGTCGAAGCCTTCTCCGCGGAAGAAAGAGTCATTGAAACTAGCTTTCGAAGGATAAAGAAGCTAGATCGCATTCTCGAACAGACTTTACAAAGAGAAAAAGAGGTGCGTTATAGCATTCTTCAGTTGCCCGGGAAGGTGAATCTTTGAATGCATAAACCACGCCCCTTTTAGACATGATTGGCCATCAAGTATGTACAAGAAAGGATACTTTGAGCACTTTTACTATAAAATATATTTGAATATATGAAGCCATTTAAATAAATAGCAAAATTGCACACTTCTTAAGTAGGCGTCTTTGCCCTAGTATCGTTTTCCAGACAGTCGAAAATAGGGCATTCAAAAGTATTCATCGTGGCGTGTCTGCATTAATCCCTCAAAAATGACCACCTAAGAAGTATGCATTTTCCCACAAGTTTTCGATACCTTTATAAATTCAAGTATACTTTATAGGAAAGGGCATTAAGATATTATTTCTTATACTAATCTGATAGCAAATTACGCCTTCTTAAAACTTTATACGTAAACATAGGGTACCCTTTGGTTTTAAAAAGTTTCTAATTATGAGATTTTCAGAAGATGAAATGGCGAACGTACGTTTGTTTTCGAAACGCGTCTTCAGTCGTCTTTAGGTCCTCTTCTATGCTATCATTCGAGCAGATCCGTTTCGCCCTTTGCGTCAAACATCGTATTAAATTACGTTTGAAGTTTAACGCTACGAAGCTAGCAAAATGG